ATTACAGGCATGGGCCTCTGTGCCAGGCCCTTTTTTTTTTTTTAATGTGAAAATGCAACACCTTCTGATGTTTGGAAGAATCTTTTTTTTTTATTTTTTTAATCAAGGAAACTGGACTGTCAATAAAAACCTTTGCAAAGTTTGTGGGTGGGATTTAAAAATGAGTATCATAATTTAGTAAACACATCCAATGACATAGTTTTCCATTTGCCTCTACCTTATTTTTGTGAGGTGCGTTTTTCAGCTACGATGATTTTTTTTTAATTGAGAAAAACTAATATATATTTATGGTATACATGTTTTCAAATATGTATACATTGTTGAATGGCCAAATCAAGCTAATGAACATAAGCACTCCCTCATATACTTATCATTTTTTGTGGTGAAAACACTTAAAAGCTATTCTCTTTGCAATTTTCAGGTATAAAAGAATTGTTATTAACTACAGTCACCATAATGTACAATAGATCTCTTGAACTTATTTTTCCTAATTGAAAGGTTTTTATCTTTTGACCAACATCCCTCCAATCCACTCACCCTTCACACAGACCCTGGTAACCACCATTCTACTCTCTCTTATGAGTTTGACTTTTTTAGATCCCACATGTAAGTGAGATCATGTGGTATCTGTCTTTCTGTGCCTGGTTTTTAATTAACATGATGTCTTCTAGGTTCATACATGTTGTCGCAGATGACAGGATTTCCTTTATAAAGGCTGAATAGTATTCCGCTCTGTGTATATACCACATTTTCTTATTCCATTCATCCATTTTTGAACACTTAGGTTGATGCAAATTAAAACTATGATGAGATATCACTTCATATCTGTTAAGTGTAGGTGAGGATGTGAAGAAAAGAGAACATCTATTATGGGAAATAGTAGGGAGGTTCCTCAAAAAACTAAAAATAGAACTACCATATGATCCAGTAATCTCAGTACTGAGTATATATCCAAAGGAAATGAAATCAGTATGTCCAAGAGATGTTTGCACTCCCATGTTCACTGCAGCATTATTCACAATAGCCAAGATATGAGAATCAAGCTAAGTGTCTGCCAACAGATGAATGGACAAGATTATTTAAACCAAATATTAAATTAAATTTAGTAATACATCTCCATTATCACTTCATCACAAAGAATATAAACAAGATTTAAAGCAAGATTGAAGCACAACCCATTGTTCTCATTTAAAATATTGCTAATATTTTCTTTAGCAAGAACAAAAAGGAATAAAGCTATTTTTATTCTACCTGATTGCTGTGACTTACTTAGTCCATAATGCAAAGGAGACAGGGATGTGATTAATAATCTTTAAAATCTCAATACTAGATAAACTCTTTGTAAAAATATTTTGGGTTTAGATGAGCATGGGAAAGTACCTCATATCTAAATTGGGTTTATAAAACTGCTCAGATTAGCTATAAGTCTCATAGTAGGTGATCAATATTTACGTGCCTTGAAGTTTATATAAAAATAGAAATAATTTAAAAACAGATTTATTTTTCAAAAATAGACCTGAAACTTCTTTTAAAATGTTCTTTGCATCAGTATAAATACAATTTAACTTGCATTTTCTTATAAATATATACTTATAAAAAATTAAAATATAAAAATATAAAAATGAGGTTGATAGTGGAAGATCTGCCAGAATTCCGTGCTCAAGAGACTAGTAACATTTCAGGGAATACTTTTTGAGACTATTTCCACGAATATAGAAGCATCTCTATTTTTTAAAAGTATGTCTGGTTAATACAATCTGTTATTACCTGTTCTTGTTCTACAAGTTTCCCTCATATGTTGTTTATCTAATTAACTAAAAAGTGTGCTCCTGGGAAGGAAACTTCCTATTCCTCCAAGACCTGACAGCTAGTTTTACTGCATACAGAGAAGACAACAAATGCCTATGCACTCAGTAATCAATCTGAGAACTTTTCCAAACTCTGCCCAGGATGTCATCCTTTGAAGAAGACCACCATGTGTCTCATGGAAGGGTTCACATTAGCCAAGGATTCTCATAGGGCCCTGGCTTTAAATGTGACTACCCAAGTGACTGTGACTGGACAAAGTTCTAGGAATAAAAGACACCATCCAAAACTATAACAATCCTAGAAGAATATCTAGGCAATACCATTCAGTACATAGGTATGAGCAAAGATTTCATGATGAAAATGCCAAAAGCAACTGCAACAAAAGCAAAAATTAACAAATAAGATCTAATTAAACTCAAGAGCTTCTCCACAGCAAAAGAAACTATCATCAGAGTGAACAACCTAAAGAATGGGATAAAATTTTTGCAATCTATCCATCTGAGAAAGGTCTAATATCGAGTCTACAAGGAACTTAAACAAATTTACAAGAAAAAACCAAACAACCCCATTAAAAAGCAGGCAAAGGGCATGATCAGACACTTCTCAAAAGAAAACATTCATGTAGCCAACAAACATATGAAAAGAAGCTCAACATGACTGATCATTAGAGAGATGCAAATCAAAACCACAGTGAGATACCATTTCATGCCAGTCAGAATGGTGATTATTAAAAAGTCAAAAAACAATAGATGCTGGCAAGGTTGCAGAGAAAAAGGAATGCTTTTAGACTGTTGGTGGGAGTGTAAATTAGTTTAACCATTGTGGAAGGCAGTGTGGCGATTCCTCAAAGATTTAGAGGCAGAAATACCATATGACCCAGCAATCCCATTACTGAGTATATATCCAAAGGAACATAAATCATTCTGTTATAAAGATACATGCACATGTATGTTCACCACAGCACTATTCACAATAGCAAAGGCCTAGAATCAACCTAAATGCCCATCAATGATAGACCGGATAAAGAAAATGTGGTAAATACACACCATGGAATACTATGTAGTCATAAAAAGGAATGAGATCATGGTCCTTTGCAGGGACATGGATGGAGTTGGAAGCTGTTATGCTCAGCAAATTAATGCAGGAACATCAAACCAAATGCTGCATGTTCTCACTTATAAGTGGGAGTTGAACAATGAGAACACGTGGACACATGGCGGAGGGAACACACACTGAGGCCTGTTGGGGGCAGGGGTGGCAGGAGGGAGAGTACGAGGAAGAATAGCTAATGGATGCTGGGCTTAATACCTAGGTGATGGGTTGATCTGTGCAGCAAACTACCATGGCACACATTTGGCTATGTAACAAACCTGCACGTCTTGCACATGTACCCTAGAACTTAAAAGTTGAAAAAAAAAGTGTGGCACATCCTCGTTCTCTCTCTCACTTTCTCTCTCCTGCCGCCTGGTGAAGAACGTACTTGCTTCTCCTTTACTTTCTGCTGTAATTGTAAATTTCCTGAGGCCTCCCTAGCCACGTGGAACTGGAAGTCAATTAAACCTCTTTCACCGGGCGCGGTGGCTCACGCCTGTAATCCCAGCACTTTGGGAGGCCGAGGCGGGCGGATCACAAGGTCAGGAGATCGAGACCACGGTGAAACCCCGTCTCTACTAAAAATACAAAAAAAAAAATTAGCCGGGCGCGGTTGTGGGCGCCTGTAGTCCCAGCTACTCGGGAGGCTGAGGCAGGAGAATGGCGTGAACCCGGGAGGCGGAGCTTGCAGTGAGCCGAGATCGCGCCACTGCACTCCAGCCTGGGCGACAGAGCGAGACTCCGTCTCAAAAAAAAAAAAAAAAAAAAAAAAAAAAAAAAAAATAAACCTCTTTCAAGCCAGACACAGTAGCTCATGCCTGTAATTCCAGCACTTTCGGAGGCCAATGCGAGTGGACCATGTGAGGCCAGGAGTTTGAGACCAGACTGGCCAACATGGCAAAACCCCATTTCTACTAAAAATACAAAAATTAGCCGGGCATGGTGGTACATGCCTGTAGTCCCAGGTACTCAGGAGGCTGAGGCACGAGAATTGCTTAAACCCAGGAGGTGGAGGTTATAGTAATCCAACACTGTGTCACTGCATTCCAGCCTGGGCGACAGAGCGAGACTCTCTCAAAAAACAAAACCAACCAAACAAACAAAAACACTCCCCTTTCCTTTATAAATTACCCAGTCTCACGGGTTTTTTGTTTGTTGTTTGTTTGAGACAGGGTCTTGCTGTCACCTAGGCTGGAGTGCAGTGGCGTGATCTTGGCTCACCGGAACCTCGGCCTCTAGGGTTCAAGAGATTCTCCTGCGTCAGCCTCCTGAGTAGCTGCGATTACAGGCATGTGCCACCACGCCAGACTAATTTTTGTATTTTTAGTAGAGACGGGGTTTCACCATGTTGGCCAGGCTGGTCTCGAACTCCTGACCTCAAGTGATCCGCCCACCATGGTCTCCCAAAGTGCTGGGATTACAGGCGTGAGTCACCGCAGCTGGCCCAATATCAGGTATTCTTTATAACAGTGTGGAAATTGACTAATATACTCTCCCTCTTGGTCAGGGACACTAGCTGTAGGTTTAGTCTCTTTACATAATCCCATATTTCTCAGAGGTTTTGTTCATTCTTTTTTATTCTTTTTTCTTTATTTCTGTCTAAGTTGGCTGAAGAACTGGTCTTCGAGCTCTGAGATTCTTTCCTCAGCTTGGTCGATTCTGTCATTAATATTTCCAATTACGAAATTTTTCTTGTAGTGAGGTTTTCAGCTCTATCAGATCAGTTTGGTTCTTTCTTAAAACAGCTATTTTATCTTTAATCTCTAATATCATTTTACTGGATTCCTAACATTCCTTGCATTGGGTTTCAACTTTCTCCTGAATCTTAATGATCTTTGTTGCCATCAAGATTCTGAATTCTTAGTCTGTCACGTGAATCATTTCAGGCTGGTTACGAACCATGGCTGGGGAGTTAGTGCAGTGGTTTGGATGTAAGAAAACACTCTGGTTTTTTGAGTTTCCAGAGCTCTTACACTGGTTCTTTTGTATCTGATGTTCCTTTAATATTCAAAGGTGCTGTCCTTTCAGTGAAGCTTTTTGCTTTTATATTCTTTGATGCCCTTGAGGGTTTTGCCTGTGGTATAAGTTGGGTTCAGCTGAAAAATATGACATAATTCACAAATTTGTGTGTCATCCTTGTGCAGAGGCTATGATAACCTTCTCGGTATTGTTCTGATTTTAGTATATGTGCTGCCAAAGTGAGCACCACATACAAGTTTTGATTTCTTTCCAGAATGCTAATGAAAAGGGAGCACAAGGAACACTCCTCCCCAAGTCATGTCAACAAATTTTGTACTGTCCGTCCCAGATTACGGCAACAAATCTGGGACGGATGGTACAAAATGAACTATCCCAGGTCACGTGAGTAAACTGGATGTTATCACAGCACTGGTCATTTTTCATTGCTTTTCCAAAACTTGAGGTGACCCCACTGTCACAAGTCTGCTGAGATGCCCCAAAATACCTCCAACCTCCAAAGTTTGAGTCCACTTTGGGAAAACTGGAAATCTTTAAAAGGCAGCAGGATGTATTGAAACAGAAGCTTGGAAGAGAGATCTGGGCTAAGGATAGACCTTTGTGATTCACAGGTACATATAGTAATCATTTGGGTCTCTTGTTTATTTTTTACTTATTATTTATTATGAGACGGAGTCTTACTCTGTTGCCCAGGCTGGAGTGCAATGGTGCAATTTCAGCTCACTGCAACCTCCGCCTCCCAGGTTCACGGGATTCTCCTGCCTCAGCCTCCTGAGTAGCTGGGATTACAGGCGCTCACCACCACGCCTGGCTAATTTTTACATTTTTAGTAGAGATGGGATTTCGCCATGTTGGCCAGCCTGATCTCAAACTCCTGACCTCAAGTGATCCACCCGCCTCGGCCTCCCAAAGTGCTGGGATTACAGGCGTGACGCACTGCGCCCAGCCTGTTTGTTTTTAACTACAATCATCTTTTCCCCTAGTAAAGGATACTCTGATTTCCTCTGGGAAATTTTCTTCCCCACTACATAAAGTCTTATGGGATACTTAATCAGGCCACTGGGAGACTTCCTCCTTAAATGTGAATCTTAAGGATTACAAAAAGCTAAACATAGCAGGAGTACATTCATTCTAGCAGCAGGGCATTGCCCAGATAGTTCTTTCAAAGAGACTGTTAACAAAGCTTTTGCTTTCCACCCTCAAGGTACCTTGATTTCATCCCGTTTCCAAGCATGGTTCTATGATATCCAAATAGCATTCCAATAAATTCATATTTGCTTAGTCAGAGTTGATTTCTATTGCGTGAAATCAGAGAATTGCAATTGATTTCAAACATGTAATTCACATATATGTGTATATGTTATACAGACAAAGACACAGATAAACCTTCCCAGGAAATGTGTACAGAATAAAAAAAGGGAAAGAGCCAAGGCTAGAATCCTGGGGGATACTAACATTTAAGAGGCAATTAAAGAAAGAAATCTGAGAAAAAGGCTGAGGAGTAACCAGAGGGGTAGAGAAAGAACACTGTGAAAGGTGCCATGGCCATGGAATGTTTAAGGTAGTGGGAATGAGTGGTCAGCAAGTGTCAAAAGCCACAAAGAAATGTACGGAATGGTGGTCGGGTGCAGTGGCTCATGCCTGTAACCCCAGCACTTTGGGAGGCTGAGGCGGGTGGATCACGAGGTCAGGAGATCGAGACCATCCTGGCTAACATGGTGAAACTCCATCTCTACAAAAATACAAAAAAAATATTAGGGAATGGTAGCGGGCGCCTGTGGTTCCAGCTACTTGGGAGGCTGAGGCAGAAGAATGGCGTGAACCCGGGAGGCGGAACCTGCAGTGAGCCAAGATCTGCACTCCAGTCTGGGCGACAGAGCAAGACTCCATCTCAAAAAACAAAAAACAAAAAAAACCCAAAGAAATGTAGGGAATCATACAAAGCAAGTTGATGAAGCTAGAATGCATGTGCAAGACATAGTGAGACCTCCCTGATTGAAATAAGAGTTTTCTTATGGACCAAAGGAAACAGGACGGTTACAGTCAAATAATGCAGAACTCTGACCAGCAGGCAGAGGAATTTTAGACAGCAAAGGGAGGAAATGAGCTTTTAAAAAAATGCCTATACTGGACTTAATGAGTACTATGTGTAAAGTACTCTGCTAAGAAATTGTGTCACTTAATTTTTATAGTAATTCCATGATGTAGATATCCAGTGTCTGACACACTCTAGGTATTCAACAAATCTTTGTTGAATAAATAAATTCTAACATCACCTTCTCTTTAGATGTGCAAAAATTTCTTCCAGGATCTTCATTCTTTACCTGTGCTAACTTTATTTTATATTTTTAAAAACAGAAATAGGTCAGGAGCAGTGGCTCACACCTGTAATCCCAGCACTTTCGGAGGCTGAGGTGGGCGGATCACGAGGTCAGGAGATCAAGACCATCCTGGCTAACACGGTGAAACACTGTCTCTACTAAAAATACAAAAAAGTTAGCCAGGCGTGGTGTTGGGCACCTGTAGTCCCAGCTACTCAGGAGGCTGAGGCAGGAGAATGCCGTGAACCCGGGAGGCAGAGCTTGTAGTGAGCTGAGATCGCACCACTGCACTCCAGCCTGGGTGACAGAGACTCTGTCTCAAAAATAAATAAATAAAATAAAATAAAATAAAATAAATAAATAAATAAATAAATAAAAGGAGAAATGAACAATTCTGAATGGTGAGAATTTCTCATAGTATGGTGGTGGATATTTGTTCATTTTTTACCTCTGGGGATCTTCTATCTGGGCAAGTCCCTCTTACACTAGTGTTGTCAAACTGAACTTTCTGCAATGATGAAAATATTCTATATTTATATTGTCTAATACAGTAGCTACTGACCACATATGGATACCAAACACTTTAAATATGGCTGGTGAGACTGAAGCATTGAATTTTTAACTTTATTTAATTAAAAAAAATTTTTTTTTTAATAAAGACAGGGTCTTGCTCTGTTGACCATGCTGGAGTGCAGTGGTGCAATCAAGTCTCACTGTAGCCTCAAACTCCTGGGCTCATGCAATCCTCCTGCCTCAGCTTCCCAAGTAGCTGGGACCAAAGGCATGTGTCACCATGACCAGCTACCTTTTTTCATTTTTTTGTACAGATGGGGTTTTACTACACTACCCAACTGGTCTCTAATTCCTGGCTTCAAATGATGTTCCTGCCTTAGCCTCCTAAAGTGTTGGGATTACAGGTGTGAATCACTGTGACTGGCTCTAATTTAAATTTTAATAGCCATATGTTGCTACTGGCTATTATGTTGAGCAGTGCATCTCAAGCCTGTAATGTGGATTATTCAATGAAAACATCTCTTGGTAGCTTTTCTACCCTTCCTGTTTTAGCTTCCATGGATGAAACTCCATAAAGTTTAAGTTAACGGGGACAGGGTCAGGGGCGCGGTTGTGGGCGCCTGTAGTCCCAGCTACTCGGGAGGCTGAGGCAGGAGAATGGCATGAACCCAGGAGGCGGAGCTTGCAGTGAGCCGAGATCGCGCCACTGCACTCCAGCCTGGGCGACAGAGCGAGACGCCATCTCAAAAAAAAAAAAAAAAAAAAGATAGAAAAGACATCAGGTATAACAGGTTGTCAATGAAGGTATTTGTTGTCTGTAAAATTTATAATTCTATTTGATAGTCTTTATTTCACATATCTGTAATTCATAAACAAAAATATTATTAGCTCCTTGAAGTCAAGAACCTAAATACACCTCCATACTGTTTTCTAAATTTCTAATGTGATATGTTCTTTCATATTTGAAAATGCTTGCATAATAACATTTAATTTATATGTAATGTGCTACAGTTTTCCTTTGATTCACAGTGGTTTTCAGAGTAATAATTTCATCAGCTAAAAAAGTTAATTCCTACTTTGTCTTCTTATAATAATTTTGAATGAATGTTTTCCTGTCATTTTTTGATTTCTTTTGACAATAAGAAATTCACATCCATCATACGTACTAGCTCCCCTCACCAGTTACATGTGTATGTACTTGCTCAGAGAGTAGTTTCCATTCTAGTTTCAACAGCCAATGTGTTTCATATATTATAATTCTACAAAATTATGCGCTTGTTCCACGAATAAAAATAATTAAAAGCAAAAGTCTGAAGTAATAAAGTACTTGTATAATGTGGAAGGGAAATAAAGAATTTAGATTCAGAGGGAGAAGTTGCTAATAGGAGAGTTGAAAGTATTTAGCATTTATTATTATTAGTGTCTATTCATTATAGGAATGAAGTATGGGAAGAGGTAAAAGCAAAACGTACATATTTGAGTATCATCTCTATAGAGATAAAAAGTGAAGCAACGAGAATACGTGATATTTCTGGGGCTGTAAAAGAAGTGAATTTTAAGACTATTCTTACATTAGCAGTAGGTAGAGGGAATTATGGTTAATACAAAAACAGGAGGAAGTGGGGTAATACCACAAAACATATAAAGGAATTAGAAAATAAAGAGACCTATGCAAGTCTGAGTAGTTAAGAAGATTTCATCAGAGAGGAGAGCCTTTAGGAAAGATAAGGAAAGGATAATTTGTTTTATATATCCTTACATAAATAAATATACATAATTAGGCATAGAGATAGAAAGTATACATTGTGAGGGATGAGTATATACATACATACATATGTCTTTAAACATTCATGTAGGAGAGAAAGCATTTAAAGTAATGAGGATGCTTGGAAACAAGACATTTATATTAAGAATGCAGGAAGTAAAGATTAGATAGAAAATGCAGGGGTGAAAATTACAGAGTAATTACAAAGTCATTCAAATTTAAAAGTTCTTCACATTACAAAGTTTGACAGTTAAAATAGTAATTCTCTTAGAATGTTTATATAAATAATTTAAATATTTTTATTCAGAAAACTGCAGAAAATCACGTACTGCAATAAACTGTGGGATCTTTCACTCAAAAGTAAAATTCTATGGTATACATATAGATAACACTAGCTAGCCAAGTAAATCTAATATTAATATTTTATTTTCCCAGTTAGGCCTGACCACCACAGAAATAAAAGGCAAAGCTATACACAATAAGCTTCAAGTTTTCCATCTCACTGCTCAGAATGCCTTCATGAAAATTTCTTATGTTCATTATTCACTTTTGATTCTGAAACAGTAACAACTGTCAAATGGTTATCATGATAAAATTGTAAGAAGTTCTTTGTTTTATAATTTATTAACT